CCTCCTCCTCCAGCAGCCCCAATAAGAGAGGCCCCCCCTCCTACAACGAGCACATCTCCAAGCGGCTGGCCTCGGGCCCGGGCCAGCCCGAGCTGCTGCACCGCGAGCCCAGCACGCCGCACCGCTACCGCGAGGGCCGCACGGAGTTCCGCCGCGACAAGTCGCCGGCGCGGCCGCTGGACCGCGAGAAGTCGCCCGGCCGCATGCTGGACAGCCGCAGGGAGAGGTCCCCGGGCCGGATGTTCGAGGACAGGGGCCGCCTGCACACGGGCTCCGTCCGCACCCCCCTCACCCCCGTCAACAAGGTATGCCAGCCCGGGGTCACGGGGAGCCCCTCTCCTGCTTCCCCCTCTGCCCCAGCCAGGTGGTGCAAATCATGCCTGCGTTCTGCCCCGGGGCGAAAGGCCCAGCTCCAGACCGCAGTCCTGTTCGATCCTCCCCCTGAGACGGAGCATCGCAGCTCGAGTCCGTGGTAACACTGCAGCTGATGGGCTGGAGGCCTGTCTGTGCTGCAGCTCTGACTGCTGACTGACCCTGCTGCTTCTCCCCCTCTTCCCCAACAGGTGTGGGATCAGTCTTCTGTGTGAGCGCCCCCCGCTGGCCCAGCCCCCCGACCCCAGAATCCCGGATCCGAGCCACAGATGTTCAGCATTACTGCATACGCTACAAGCACACCCTGGATACAGCCCGCAGGCCAGCCTAAAGCAGCGCAAAGCCGTCCCATCCATTTGTATCCCTTTTCTTTTTCTACCAGGTCCTTAAGTACTTTATCTCCCAGAATGCCAAGCTGGCCCATGAGCGCCTGCTCCTGTGTGTCCCGCAAGGACACTAAGCACTTCATCAGTATTCTCCAGGTCAGAAACACTGTTCCCTGCCCTGCCCTGCGCTGTCCTGTCCTCCTGGGGTGCACAGGTGTGCTTAAGTACTTGATCTAAAAACACTGTACATAGATACTAACATTTTTATAGTTACAAAAGGGAATACTAAGCTGGAAAAGCTGTCTATTTTTATGAAAAGAGCATTTCTAATCTGTAGCGTCCTGCTAGTGTTGCACTGTATTCCTGTTCCTAGAAAGCCGAGCAACCCCAGTCACATGAGCATTAACAGGTTCTCTCTCTCCTCGCTGCTGAGGGTCGAGCAGAGAGAGGCGCAGGATCTGTTTTTCACTGCGGACCGGTCTCTCCACCAGGCGGCGGCACGGTCCGTCTGCACTGACCACCTCCAGCACAAGGCAAGAGCGAATTTCATGGGTTGTGTTAGAAACTTTGGCGTGTCATGTAATTAAAATATTGTATTTTTTGAGAGAGACGTTTTTTGGAAGCAGCACAGTAAAAACCAACATTTCCATATATTTTCATTTCCGTCCACTGAGACCAAGCAGTAAAATACAAACAGAAGTAGAGCTATTTTTGGAGTTCCTGCAGCTTTAACATCCAGGTGTCAAGTGTTTTTGTTCTGTGCAGTGAAAATTAAATTCCAATAACTATCAGGTTTGGCTTGAAGTGTTATTGCTGCTACTGTAAAAGTTCTCTTTACATTGTGTGATTTGAGTGCTGAAGTAATACAGCAAGTTTCAATACTAAAAAAACTAAACATTTCAGTGTCAAAATGCACTTGTAAAGTCACACTATCAAGCATGTATACTTTCCAACACTGATTTTTAGCTTTTTCTCACTGTTTCTGTTAGTTTTTTTTCCATTTCCTTTTCTCTGTTGTGACTTCACTTGTTGGACCGTGTGTGTAACTGGTGCATATTGACGTGATTGGCTTTCCTTAAGAGATTTTTTTAATGTTCAAGTACAATAAATGTATGACTCAGTCTCTGCTCTTTTTTTCTGAACTACAATGGCTGATCCTGACTGAACTAGTGTACCAAAATATTCTGCAACATCTATTTTAAACATGTTTCCACAAATGCCTCTGCTCAAAAACATTTTGAATATATAACACAAAAACAGAGCTGTCATTTCATGGCACTTAATTACAAAGGTGGCACTGTAGGGCTCAGGATATTTGTATTATAACATTTCCGATCTGCACGGCTGTCCTTCAGTACCTTGCTGGGTAAAAATAAGGGATGAACTCCCAGCCCAGTGCCCGGTAAGAACATCATTCACAGTTATTCCCAAGGGGAAAGCACCTGTTGCATTGTTGCAGTGGAAACTGCAGTGCTGACCAGGTGTTGCTGCTGCCACCAGTGTGGGGCGCTCAGTGGAAACACCAGTGGCTGGTGGTTGTTATTCCTACAGTATTCCGAGGCAGAAATGGAAACGGAATGCTGTGGTACATTCCAGTGGAAAGCCACACAACAGGTACTGTATGTCCCCTACAGATGAAAACACGGGGAGGTGCTTGAACTACACAACAGACACATAGAGCACGGAGGAACTGCATGGTTTTACCAGCCATCTGTGCTTGCTGTACATGTGGACAATGTCATTTTAAACACCTCCCACAGTGACCCCTCCCCTGGTGCGAGAGTGGGATCAGAGGGATCAGAGGGAGCAGGAAGAGAAGACCACACGATGTCGATATATGACACTTTTATTCTTGATGCATTAAAACTGGATGCCACATGTAAATATAAAGCTGGTCCATTAGGAATACATGCTTGCGATTCTGATTGGTGAGGTTTCAAATAATTGTTTAAACAGTCAAAGAAAAAAAACATCCGCTTCAGACCTGCTCCTGATGTGTATAATTCTAAAGTCAAATAAAATCACATCTGGCCAGTCTGTAGTAGATCGAGATTTCAGCCCAATGTTTCTGCTGTTTTTGAATATACAAAGGGATCTTTAATCCTAACCATCTTCAGAGCTGCTTGTATTAAACAGGTGTAAACTACACTATCTTATAAAAATGTGCAATATTTAACTTAAGATTTAAACCATGAATCTATGGAAATGTATCTAGACAAAAACCAAGGCAGTGATTCCCTCCACACACTTGGAAAAACACAGCTCAACATTTAATTCTGCAGTCGTTGCAAAAAAGTATGTCCTCACCCCCAGCTGGCTCCTCAGAAAAGCCCGATGTCACCGTCTGTATGCTGCAGGCCGCAGGCTGGAGCCTGAAGAGGCCGGTGTGTGACTGGCAAGGGGAACTAGCAGAGCTCGACACTCGAGAGCAAGTGTGAGATAGAGAGATGAAACAACACGGGCAAGCTGCTCTGACGTTTAGTATGTTCTCTGCTCACACGCTGCAGGTCTCCAGTATTCTGGTTAGAGAGACAAGCTGTTTAACTGAAGCTAATGTCCACTGTCAAGCTGTAGGCGATGTGTCTCTGCACCTCTCTCTCTCTCTCTGCCCTCTCTAGCAGCCGGCTGAGCGGTCCCGTCACCCTGACAGGCCTCGCTCACGGGACGCTGGGGAGCCCTGTGCCCCACGCCCACAGCTGGCACCTCACACGAGGACAGGAGCCTCCGAGCTGGCACGGCCCCAGCACGGTGTCCCCCCCCCCAGAGCTGTACCGCTGCCGGCCGAACAGAGCAGGCTCACCTCTGACCTTCCCTCGGCCGCGAATCAGCCCCTTCGCCCGCCAGTAGGAACAGAAACATTAAACCCTAAAAGCAGCCTGTGTGCAACGTCCTGTGCTCACGATGCACTTGTCCACCTCCAGCTGGAAAGCATTCCTGCTCTTGGGCTCCAGCAGGACTTCTGCCTCTTTCAACACCTCCTTTCACTTCGGCTGTTAATACAGCAACAGGGAGGTGGGGAAGAACAGGAAAAGGTTACTCCTTCCTGACAGGAGAAGAAACAGTGAGCTTCTTTTCCCCAGGGAATAAACCTTGACCTGCGCCTCCACAGCCTGCGCGTGCTGCTGCAGCTCCCTACTCCGACTCAAGCAGGGGAAAAGAGCAGGATTCATGCAGAACAGAGGCATGGACCTCTGCCCCCATTGAGCCCATGGTGGTGAACAAGAGCCCCTGAGGGGGTGCTGTGGCCCTGGGGGGTGGGGGGTGGGGCAGTGTAGGGGCCCACAGGACTGTGTCCCAGCCAGGAGCAACCCTGGCCTCTCAGTTCAGTGACACTGAGGGGGCAGAGAAGGGCTTCCTGGGCCACACTCTCTCCCAGAAGAGATTCCACAACAACTGATTTAACAGACATGCTTGCAGGGAAACTAGAGGGATTCCTTGAGTTCTGAGCGCCCACTGAATGCCCAACCGCATCTCCCTGAAGCAAAGGCACAGATCAGCCCCGCAACCAAGCCAGAGCAGGAGACCCTGGTGGCCCAGAGAGCTGAAATCTTTCTGCTCAGCCCCCTCCAAGAAATCCCCCCCCACCCCCCACCATCCACACCCAGACAGAAGCAATTATTTCCCCATGGCAGCATGGGTGATATGTTAGCACCTCTCTACCTTTATCATCACCTTCAGAAGAAGAGAGGATTTTTTATTTAACATCCAAAACATAAAACACATCTCTGAACATCACCCACTAGAGGGCACTAAAGGGCTTAAATAAATGCAAACCTGGACGTCTGTGCTGCTGCAAATTCAGTCATGGCCGGTCCTTCAAAACCACCTCTTACAAGTCCACATGATGGTATGGGAAAAAAAAAAGCCATAAAGCTGTCGGAACGCACACGCCACTTCTGACAGTCCCATCTTCCACCCTCGCACCCCCCCACCCCGGCCCAGGACAGCCCATGCAGGCTGGGAGGGACAAGGGCGCAGCCTGGCAGACAGACTGACCAGGGACCCCGGGACAGGATCACTGGGGAAACGGTGCATGTGGGACAGAGACAGCAGTAGAAGAGTCCGTACAGAGAAGGATTCAGACATGGCCGCCAGGCGGGTCCCCTCTGCGCTCCGGCTCCGGCTCCTGCTCCTGCTCATATGGGCTTGTACAGCAGCGTGGTGACAAACTTCTTCTTGTAGCGGTGAGTGGCGCTGAGCACCATCACGCCGTCCTGAGACGCACAGAGGAGAGGGGGTCAGATGGGACTGGCTGCGTAACAGCTCTCGAACTCTGCTGTCCGACCAGTGGCACAGGACCGACTATAAACACAGGACCAGCTCTACAGGTGTGCAGCCCTTCCCCTGATGGACAGGGCGTACAGGTGTGCAGGTATACAGGTGCAGCCCTTCCCTTGATGGACAGGGAGTACAGGTATACAGGTGTGCAGCCCTTCCC